GGTGGAGTCACCATCCCTGGATGTGTTTAAAGAGCGGGTAGACGAGGTACTTAGGGATATGGTTTAGGGGGTAGACAGGAACGGTTGGACGTGATGATCTCAGAGGGCTTTTCCAACCGAGCCATTCTGTGATTCTGTGTGAAAGGATTGTATCTTTTGGCCTAATAAGAATACTAGGGGTTAGGGGAAAGATTACAAGCTTTCTGGTAATTACATTATTTGAGTTGGTTAATGAGCATCTTTTCCTTCCCTACTCACAAAACCATCGTGCCTATTTCAAAGGTAGGAAAGTGGAGAAGCTGCTCCTGGGGCAAGTCCTAGTGAGTACCATACTAGCTATAACTTCAAAGTCGGGTGCTCTGAGTCGTAGGATCTCCTAAGAGCTAGACTATATTGCTGCCTGCTGTGTGACAATTAATCTCTTAAAAGATTAAACAGACTTTCTTATAGTTATTTTAAGTAAATAACTAATTTAAAGCTATTGTTCTGGCCTATGCAACACCATCCTGTTCACGTCATTAGAAAATTTAGTGGTTTTCCATTTAAGAGGGTTATTTCTCCCCCACCCCTGAATGATGCGTTTTGCTTCTGCTCTTAATGTCACTGTTCTGCTTCGTTTTCCTGTGCTGAGTGTTTTGGCCGCCGCTTCCAATTGAAATATGAGTGGGAGAAGCTCCCTCCAAAAAGCCTGCTTTAAAAAAATGATATGTAAATATGGCACAATAATCTTCACTTCAGCTCTTGCAGAATGTTCAATGTACCAGTACGATGTAACCTGTGGTAATTACAGGCTTACAGCTCATTGCCAGTATCCTCCTTGGGATTTTTTTCAGTTTGTTTTTAGGCCTTATATTTTGACATTGACTTGAGAAGTAGTTTGGTTTTGAGTCCCTTCACACTGATGCTTTAGGTGTATTTGTGCATTAAGTGGTGCCAAAGCTTGTACGTGTTGTGCCCTCTGACTTGGAAATGCTCAATTTAAACATAGCTTTTGCTAAATAATGATAACAGAAGCATCCTCAGAGGAAAGCAAAGACCAGTATCAGCGTTTTCCTTGATTATAACTGTTTCAAAAGAACATAGAGAAAGAACAGTTCTGTAGAAAAATTACTGAACTTGTCTGGTTTAGCTTTTTTAATAACCCCAGGAAAAGCAAAAGCCCCCAAATATTCTATTTCTTTCTTCTTTCCCCACGTCCCCTCCACTTCTGCCTCTGAGTACATGGGTATCTTTGAACTGTGTGTAATGACAGATGCTTCTGTAGGATTCCTTGATACCAGATTTACTACTTGAAACACACTGAGGTTTACTGTAGAAGGTCTTTCTTCCTTATCCTGGAATTCAGCTATTTGAAGCCCCACTTTCTTATTGTAACCAAGTATATACCATGAGTTGAATTACTCTGGCTCTATCTACTTGTCATTGATAACAGTATTTTTCCTGCACAGTTGCAGTTTCTCTAATCTCAAGACTGAAACGTTATCTAGAAACTTTGCTGATGTGAACTCCCGACGCCTCCCCTTCCTCCAGGCTTGTGTTTAAATTCTTGTTTTCTCTTGCCACCAAACTCTCATCTAAGTAAAACAGAAGTTGTGAAGTGTGTCTGTAGAAATACTGGGAGCTTTTCTGCGAGTTATTGATTTCAGGATAACTTGCAATTGTTCTTCTGTTCCCATCACGCTCTCTCTGTGTTAATCCTGACCTGAAGGGACGCTTTGGTCCGGGAGCAGATGCCTGTACTTCAACCTTCCATCAGGAAGTTACTAAACTGTAACAATCTATTTATGGTAGCTTCTTTTGTACTGCTAATAACCCAGCGAGGGCTAAAATTAAGCCATCCCTGATTTTTTTTTTCGTGTTTGGTTGTAAAGAGGAGTTAGAGCCAATGAAGTCAGCAGAAGGGAAGGACAAGGGAAGTAGAATCTTGATTCCAATAAGAATTTTCTTTGTCCATTGAACAATGGGAATCCTTGTGAATTCTCTAAATTTGGCGTTCTTATTTATTCAGATGTGAAACGTTTAGGATTGCAGAAACCTCCAACAAATTCTGAATGGGGAGGAGCAGGGAAGAAGTAACTTCAGCCTACCGTGACCTGCACTAGCAGTTTTCTTTCGGCGTTCACACAAGTGGTTGCTACTTGAAAGGGAATTCTGGTTTGCTCTTTTGTTGGGTTTTTTTTAATAGATGATGTTGCTTTTATGTCTGTACCCCTTGGGCTTCATATAGTGGATCATTAACTTCTTTTTTTCATCCTTTGCTTTTTGCTTGGTATTTTTCTCAAGTGACAACGTGCGCATTTCTGAATTGGCTTCACTTTATTGATCCCATCTTGCTCTAGGGGTGAGCTGAGATCCTTGTAAACATTATCTTTTTAGAAGGAAGTGGAATTAAAGCTGCTCTAGCACCTGCTAATGCAGGATTCCTGTTCAAGAGGAAATCCTAATTTACTCTTCCTTGTAAACTGAAGGCTGATCAGCTTACCACATAGTAACCTTTTGACTTGTAAACACGGTGTTCCTTTGGACTGCATTTAGCCTCTAGAGATTATTTCCCTCGGGCTTGGTGGTAACTTTAAAAGTAAGCTTTTCACAATCGTGAAAAAGCAGCAGCCCTTTTCTGCTGAACTAATTTTAATGCAATCAGGCATACTTGCATACTGGAGTAGGTGCTTCAGATGCCTTCAAGTTCTAAGAAGGTGGCCGTGTTTTTCTTTGCACTCTTAATCACCAGTGCAGCGTTAAACAAAGAAACTCGTTATCCATTGGGTATGGAAAACAGATTGAATTATTGTGATTATTTGCTTTGCGATGCAGACTTTCAGCCCTTGAAAATGCTTGAGATGTGTGGGTGGGGAGTTGGCTCTGGCTGGGATAGTCATGGTGAATCACTGGCAGTAGTGCCAGGTTTGGCATGGATGGAGATTTGGGCTGGGGCCAGTAATTCAGTTACTGTGCTTTTTTTTATTGTTTATTACCAGCCCCAAAAAGACTTTTTTTTTGTCCTTGAGGAGGAAGGAAGAGATCAAATTTAGCAGGAGCAGTATTTGTTTCCTCTCACTGCTAATACAGCAGAAGGAAGCTGCTTCTGAAATATGTATGTTCCCCGGGCTTCTTACAGCTTTGCTTTAGTGAGTGACCAGAGGCATCTGGACTCTCCTTAGGGATCCCACAACTGCAAGGTTTTGAGTGAGGAGCGGATACTGGGGCTAAGAATTCAAAATATTTCTGGAACTTTATATTAAAAAATCATCTTGCAGAGCTCTGCATCTGGATACCTTCTGCCTCTGTACATAGCAGAAGTTTAAATGCTGTGCTGCCAGCATAACCTGTCCTGTTCCTCTGGGAATTGAGAGAACTTACTGAATTGATGGATATGGATTGGTTCACGAGGAACCAAGATTCCTCATTTATACTCATTTTCCTCGTCTTCTCACCACACAGCGAAGACTTAAGAACTTGTTTTCTGTTCTTTTATGATATTCAAAGCACAACGATAATAGAATGGTGGTGTTAAATCTATAAAAGTAGTTTCCTTTCTACTGTGTTTTTTTCCTCAGGACACTAGGGCTCCAGCGTCATACAAGTGCCCAGCTCCATTCGGTGTGTTTTTATGCATCTCTCTCTCTGTTGCTAGTATGGCTCTTAAACTGTTTATTAGAAGTGCTCTTAAAAGAACGAGCAGTTTGTTAACCCAAAAGAACAATTTTTCATTAAAGTGTGTGTTGAGTACATGTTACAAAACAAAAAAAGCATTAGCCTATGTACTTTTTCTGAAGTTCAAACTTTAACGCTTCTCTTGTAGCACAAACGCTTGGTTTTGCTAGCAGAATTCTGTTCCAGATAACATAAAGACACTAAAGAAATATTGTGACTGAAGCTCAACTCTATTTAGAACAACTTAATTAGTAATGGGTTTTTTTATCTTTCCTCTCTCTCTCCTTTCTCCAAAGAGCACCTTTTTCATAATGTCAGTAGAAAACCCTGAGGATATAATAGAATAAATCTGTGAAAAGGGTTCTCTGGAGAAACTGAATCCTGAGTCAGTTGACAAGACAGCTGCATCTCTGGCTGCCCTGGTCTCTCAAGGCTGTAGCACTCTAGAACAAACTAGCCGCTATCTTGAAAGCCATCTTCCTAGAGAAAAAAGCCATCGTGCTTGATGCAGTAAGCCTGCAGTCTCCTTCTGAAAAGTAATCTCAACTATTTTATACCAATCACAACTCTTTTCCTAGTGCGAGATGATTACGTGAAGATGGGGCTTCTTGTGAAAGAACAACTGATTTATGTACGGTTCTTGCAATGCGTAGTGCTTGGTGGTGGTTGTTGCCATGAGCCAGATGAGCTGCAGTAAAGTTGTTCAACAGAATTATTACGTCCTTTCTAAACAGGATAAATAACGTTTGTTAACTTTTGCGTATTGAACGGTTGACTTTGTTCTTGAGAATGGTAAGTGTAGCGTTCTAAATATCTGTAATGCTGATAATTGAGCATCACGTCGCTAACTTTTAACATGTGCACTTACATCTTAGGTGTCATTATGGTTGGCAAGGACAGTACTGTGATGAGTGTGTCCGCTACCCAGGCTGTGCTCATGGGAGCTGTAACGAACCATGGCAGTGTAATTGTGAAACCAACTGGGGTGGCCTGCTCTGTAACAAAGGTACTTAACATTAATGAACAGGGAATATAAGTAAAGTTGCATGATTAACTGATAACTCATTAACCATTTTTTTTCCTGCTAGCGTGCAACTATCTGAGTATTTCTGTGCCTAATTCTTCTATGGCAGATGGTGCCTAAACATTGTAAGTGTAGGAAGTTTAAGATAAAATGCTTGGAACGTTCCTGACTCTTCTAATTCATGCAATTGTCACTTGTTCATCCTTCCCTGTCCTGTGGATAGTAAGGAGATGACAGCCTAGTTAAGGGAATATGAGGATGATGTTGGTGACTGATGTTCAAGCCAGAAAGGCACCTGTATATCTGACTAGGGATTAAAGTGGTGAGCTTTGTGTTCCCTGTTGATTGATGCTTTTCTTTCTCTAGATCTGAATTACTGTGGAAATCACCATCCCTGTGTGAACGGTGGAACCTGTATGAATACTGAGCCAGACGAATATCGCTGTGCTTGCCCGGATGGCTACTCTGGAAAGAACTGCGAAATTGGTACTTGTGGATATTGCATCTATCTTCAGAAATCTGAAACTTTTAGGCATGGCTATGTTCTAGTTAGCCAGGTGGCATTTTTGCATGCTTATTGTTGCATATTTTTTTTGTGGAGTGGAGAGGCTTTTTTCTCGTTTCCAAAAGCTAGCTTGGTTTCTGAGAGGGCAAGCGTGAGAAGTGATGGTGTGCAACTTGTCCTTCCGATGTGATTGCTCCTTTGTGTGACAGTGGGCGATGCCAGCTTGGTCTCTCTGGTCTAGTGCCTTAGGCTGGCTAGTCAAAAAAACACTGGAAACAATAGAAATGCTGAGGCAGTTTCCTTTGGATGTAGATAAGACTGAGAAGATTTCTTCCCTTTGATTTCTTCACTTCTTTAATCCAAGATGCAGTTGGGCATGGAAGTGGGTTGTGGGTTACTTCTGTAAAGGTTATACCTTTCCGTGTTACCTTTTTCTCTCCTACCCATTTTTTCCCCTCTTTTGGCTTGCTTGCAAACGTGCATCTTGTACAAGCTGGGGACTAAGGAAGGTAGTAGCGATGGACACTTCAGTTTTAACCGGGGTTTTGGCCCAATTTACAGCTGCTTCAATGTGTTGACGATCCTTTTTGATCAACTGAAACTTGATTTTTAAAATAATCTTTTTGTTTGGGACTTTAAATATATTTGGATTATTAATGTCGATGTCAGGTACTATGGAAATGTGCCCAGACCCTCTTACAGAGTCACCTTAGGTGTTCTAAACTAAAGCTAAGTGGCTTCCCTCTTCCCATTGGCAAAGTGGAGGAAAGCATTGAAACCATGTTTCTGATGCAGGATGCCTTCTTGAGCACAGTCTAACAGCTCTGTGTCTATCCAACATGAAAAACTGCTTTCTTTCTCAACCGCAGCACAAAGATAGTGTATGGCTTTTTTAATTTATATCTGTGTATGTGTTACACAAAGACCAAAATTTTCATGTACTGGAGACTTATTTTGGAATTTGGAGACTCTTCCTGATTATTCTGTCTCTAGAGATAAAGGAACAAGTGTGCAATTTCTTGTTTTTCTATTTTCATTCAAAAAAATTGATATTTGGAGAAAAATTAAAGCTTTCAGTTCAACCTTTTCACACGTAGTATCCAGCTGGGTGTTCTGCAGTGACTTTCTTTACCATGATGGGACTGTTAAATCCTTCTTTTAAAATGTGATATTTCCAGTCTTCTCACTTTGACTTTTGCTATTCCTTGATATAGTTACAAGTGTAGATGGAAAGAACTTTTTTTTGTTTCTTTAACTTAACTGTTTGGCTTTAAGATCACTAAATTATTATCAGCAGAAGTTTTTCACATTCATCAGGATGTAGATCTTTGAACTTCTCTGAAGTGCCATGTGGTATTAATGATGGTATCAAAACTTGACTTTTACTTCAGCTGGTAGAATATGCTGCAAAGTTTTGGCTAAAATGGATGGAATCTTGTCTTAGCTTGCCCTGAAAGCTGTGGGGAAGCAACTTGGCTCTTCAGATGAGGAGGGAGGAGTAAAGGGAGCCATGTGTTTGAGTTCTGTACTGATTATTAGCAGTAGATTGGTGTGTGAGCTGCTTCAGGTATTAGTACCTAACACCATAGACATGTAAATTCAGTTTGCAAACTAGATAACGTGCCTGAAAGAAAGATTCCAAAACCTAAGTGCTAACAATACCTAGAAAATCTTGCCTAGTAAGAGAATTTTCTTCTTTCTAAAAGTTTCCTTGGCTCCTAAGAGGGGCAAATATAAACAGTGATGGCATACAACTTGTCCCTCCTCAACCTGGCTGTTGCTTAGTGCAGCTTCTGCAAGTATTACAGCCCTACATGGAGTGACAACAAGCGGTGCTGCCTATAATTGCAAGTAGCTGGATTCTTTGCTCTTTCCAAGGAACAGTATTAGAATGAAACTAAACAGGCCTTTAATACTTAAACCACTACTACTCTTCAGACCTCTGCTTGCAGTGAATCTGTTTTGTCTCACTGAAGGGGAAAAAAAAAAAGAAAACAAGATGGAATCGCGTGGCTGGAAGCAGTAGGTTAATGGGGAACTTCTCTAGTTCCTGGGATATGGAGATAGTGACCTGTCTAGCTTCAGGCTTTCTAGTCAGTGGATAGGAAGGATGGTGTGCCTTCAGTAAAATCCTACTTCAGTCTCCTACTGGGGCTCTTACGCTCTGGGAGAGGAATCTTACACAGCTGGGAGAGGGAGGCTCCAAACTTCTGTATAGGCACCCTCTCCACTCTTCATGCTCTTGGTCACTTTTGATTAGAACACAATTTCTGTGTGAATTCTCTTTAATTGATACTGGAATAGTATATAGCAATAACTTATTTCCTCCTCTCTTCCCAGCGGAGCATGCTTGTGTATCTAATCCCTGTGCTAATGGTGGAATTTGTCATGAAATTTCATCGAGCTTCAAGTGTCACTGCCCATCAGGGTGGAGTGGACCAACATGTGCTATTGGTGGGTATGCGTTTACTGATGACTGACCCATTAGGTTAGAAGGGTTGATAAAGCTTACTTGATAATTTGGTGGTAGTCTTTTACCTTACCTTACAGCTGTGCCTTGGGGGACTCTGAAAGGATTAATGGTACTGTGCAGCCAGCAGTATCTGTGTGCTGCAGTTGAGATCTACAACACAAAAAAGCATAGCTGGACCCCAGAAATGCCCTGTTGCCAAAGCTTGTAGGACAATCTGACTCTTTAGCCAGTCTAAATCGAAATACAGAACGGATTTGTTTTAAGAAATATAAATGTGAACATGAAAAGTTCTCCCCTTAAAGTAGCAGGAGAATAGATTACTCAAATGATTAAGTGTCTGGTCTAGAAGGCAGGGAAGTAGTTGAAACATATTGTGGGCCTATGTAATTCGTTTGTATGTTGCCTGTGGTTTGGAACATGGGCTTTTCTTATCCATTTTTCAACAGCAACTATCCTCAAAAAAATATACTGGCTAAGCTTGTGTCATGATCTGGGAATATGACTTTCAGTGGATGTGTTCATTATTGGCAGATTAACTGAATCTTCTTGCTAGAAAATTTCAGAGTTCCTCTCTTCCCTATCTCAAAGATGCGGGAAAAGCCTAAGTGAAAGCTAGGTTAGAAACGTTGTGTGTTCCAAAGCTAATTTGGTTGTACATTCTCCCCCTTCATCTCAAAATAAACCCCCCAAAAACCCCAGCAAACAACAGGTTAAACCGAATTTTAAACCGTGTAATGAAAGGCACACTTTGATGTTCCAGATATCGACGAATGTGCGTCTAACCCTTGTGCTCAAGGAGGGACCTGTATTGATGGTGTTAATGCATTTGAGTGTATATGTCCACAGCAGTGGATTGGAGCAACGTGTCAGCTTGGTAAGTTTTGAAGACCACTGGAGGTTATTCCTAAATAATGAGTAGCTCCACGTAAGTGTGTTTCTGACGTGATTTTTATTGAAGAAACTTTGAAGATGTGCGTTGCTATTGGTATCTCAGCTCTTCTTTTGTAGATCTGAAAGCCAAAAGTTTCAAGTGAACCTGTAACTATTTAAGCCCCAAATTAAGCTTACTTATAATAGTTCTTCTAGAATGCCCAATAACTTTTCTGTTCCAAAATACAGTGTTGGTGATGGTAGCTGCTTCTTCACGGTGGCAGAACAGTGACTATAAGCTTATGGAGGCAAGGAAGGGATTTGCCCTGACTAACATATGACCTCTTTGAGTTTTGGTAAAGGGTAAAGTAAGATAACACGCATGTGCTACTACAGACAAGTGTGCCTTAAAAAAAAAACCTGTGGTTTTTAAATGGTTTTAGTGCCCTTCCAATGTATAATATGAGCTTCTGATGCTTGGATTGCATGGAAACTTTGCTTGGTGCTGTGGCAATCTGTTTCTGGGTTTGTTCTTTATTCTCTTCTTTCTTTTCTCTTCTTTCACAGATGCTAATGAGTGTGAGGGGAAACCCTGTGTTAATGCTTACTCTTGCAAAAATCTCATTGGTGGATATTACTGTGACTGCATTCCAGGATGGACAGGAGTAAATTGTCATATCAGTTAGTATTTCTTTAGTATATATGTTGAACATAGGATGCTTTATTATTTTAAAAAGGTTTTATGATAAATAATACATAATTGTACAAGAAAAAAATACGTGGTGTCAGGATTTTCTTAACTTTCAGTAAGGTAAATTGAAAATACTGTTTGAAAACTTACTTAGAAATGTAATTGATATTAAAATGAGCTTAGATAGACACTTAATAAATCTCTCCCTACTTGTTCATCCCTGATTCAGAAAGATACCATGTACGGATTCAACTTAAAATACTTTTTAGCTAAAATGTTAGATGTGAAATTAGCTGATAGCAATTGATTTAATTTGTTACACCATAATAGGAATATGTAATGTATTATTTTCTATTTCATATTTTTAAAAATAAGAATCTCTTAAGGTATCGAGCATCCTTGCTTTCCTTTGAAACATCTAGAAAAATCCTTTCTGAAAATCACTTGTTCTCCATTTTTTTGCTAGACCTGTTCTTTACAGCTTAAGTCTTCCAGTATAAATGCTAATGCCTTGCATGTTTTACCCATAGATATTAATGACTGTCACGGGCAGTGTCAGCATGGAGGGACTTGCAAGGTAACTTTTTTTTGTTTATTTGGATGCCAGGTTGAAAATTAATCTTGTTCTAGCTAGTTACAAATTCTGGAATTACAGGTTGGTTAATTGAGGTTCAATGTTAAAAGTGCAGTGTTGCACTTGCAGACTCTTGCAGCTTTTCACAAAATAATTTTATGTGATTCCGCTGCTGTTCACAAATACAGAATATAGAAATAACTTGAATCCTTGTGTGCAAGTTTTATCAATAAACAAATCTTTCTACTTTTGTTTTCCCCCCCCCCGCTCTGTGAAGGACGAAGTGAATGGTTACCATTGCTTATGCCCTCATGGTTTCACAGGAAAAAACTGTGAGACAGAAACAAATGAGTGTGAAAGCAATCCATGCCACAATGGAGGCCGCTGCAAAGACCTGGTGAATGGGTTCAGCTGCCTGTGTTCACAGGGCTTCTCGGGAGTCTTCTGTGAGGTGAGGACAGTGGTGACGTTACTGCAGTGCTTCTCATGCACTCAGTTCTTGGAGAAAACGTCTCGGGGTTTAAATGGGAGTAACCCAAGGCTAAAGCATTACTGAATAACGTAGCTGTTACTTGATACTCTGAATAATTTGTTGGGAAGTGCTGTCATAGCTGTATCGCTTAAATTTGCAGCCTGATAAACTACAAGTTTTTGCACTTAGGTATTGACTCTCCAGAATGCTTTAAGGCTGCCTGTATTCCTTAAGCTTGAAACACTTTCCTTTGCAATTTTCAGGAGTTGTCCTTTTATTACAGTAGAATGTTTTAAGTCTTCATCCTAACAACTCTGAAGTACATCATTGAATTACCTTTCGAGTAATCCTGCTGCTGTCGGTAGGAAAATCCACATAACTAAAAGCAGACAGATACACAAGTATTGGCTTTCAGAACTTTGTTTGAGATCATTTTAGGAACGTGGATTTCTAGTGCTTAAATAAGGATTCGGATCTGAAATACGGAAGTCTTAGTGATAATTCATAAAGTAATTAATGATAGCGAACAGCTCCCTCTCTCTAGGGGAAAAATGATCAATTTATATTGTCTTAAATACGTGCTTTCCAGCTTTAACTGATAGCCAAATTCATGTACGAGTTATGATTAGCAAGACAGCATCAACTGAAGGCGTTGAATTTACTCTGGAATTTTTTGTGGAGGATATTGAATTAATCTTTCTTAAATGGTGAAGTAATTTTATTCTATATTATTTGTGTTATTACAGGAACAATGCTCTCCTTTTATTCAAAATCAAGAAGTGTTACAGATACTGACCAGTTTTATTAAACTGGTGCACTGCCTAATAGCTCATGTACCATTTCTTCATAAGGTTCATAGCTTGAGTGCTCTGCTCTTGGCTGATTCATACCACGCTGTGCAATTAAAGTGTGAGCAAATCTGTTTGAAAAATAGGAGGGAGTTGGCTGCTTGCCTGGAGTGTTGCAGCAAATATCTACCATCGATTCCAGATGCTAAAGTACCAGCTACTGAACTTGCATTGGGAAGGGGAAATTTGCAGTAATGGAAGGAAACAAGTGGAGACATCTGATAGAGGAGATCTGAGGATCTTTCTCAGACTTTCGCCATTTTTTGTACTTTGCTTTGAATGTTCCATATGAAAGCACAAAATAGCTTGCTGAAAACCCCTCTATTGAAGCTGGGATTGTACGTGCTCCTCTGAATTAAATACTTAGCACCATTAGCATTCCTTCTGTTTTGGTTGCTTTGAATTTTTCTCCTATTTAGCTGTAGAACTACTAAAAATAATGACTAAATCTACTATTTGACTTTACTTTGTAAGGCTGTGGAAACTTTCTCACAAGAGAGATGCGAAGAGGGAAAAATTCACTTGAGGAAAAGCAATCCTTGAGAATAACAATTTGGAGGAAAGATACTGCGATGTAACAATATCCCTTTGGGGGCTGCTTCATGGATTTTGAGGCCAGTTTAGGGCTTCGCCAGTCAGATCTTGTGTGTTGATCTAAGATGCAAAAGAAGCAGAATCGCTTTGCTTCAGCAATTTGCCTGTGCTGAGAGCTATGTTATGAAAGCAGGGTTTAAATTTTGGTTTTTGAATCAGAGGGAAAGAAGCGTTTGAAATACACCTAGTGTTTGTGAGTGTAAATTGCCATGGTGATAGTATTTGTAGGAATAAGGCCCTGAGCAGCTTAGTGCAACCAGACCTACTTTGAGAAGAAAGTGGGAGTAGCAGACCTCCAGAGGCCCCTTCCAAGCTATGTGGTTTTATAATGAATTCTGTGTGTTAATTGAGATGGGAAGAGAAGTTGCTCTAGAGAATAGTATTCTTTTAATTTCTGTATATTTTACGTGGCTTGCAGGCACAAAGTTGAGAAGTGCACTGGTATTTAACTTGCATTGTAGCACTTAGTGTGTGGGTGTGAAGGCCAGAGAAGTGAATTATAATGATGCAGAATAGTCACAGTAAGATGTCTCTGTTCTTTGCTAACTAAGTCATTGCAAGTGTGCTTATTCAGCCTCCTGCAAAGGAATGTCACTTTAGCAGTATCAGAAATCCTCTGTTGTTAGGATTGACTGAAGTAACCTGAAGTTTCTCTCTGTGTTGCAGTATGGAATGCAATATATATGATTGATAAACCTTCTTAAAACGCGAGGTTCCTCATAAATTGGGTTCATCTGTGTCTTTGGCGACACAGATAATGCTGCTTACTCCTGGGAAATGAAGCAGCTGCTGCTAACGATGGTCTCTCTTACAGATGGATATTGATTTCTGTGAACCTAACCCTTGCCAAAACGGGGCTAGATGCTATGATCTGGGAGGAGATTATTACTGTGCCTGCCCTGATGACTATGATGGAAAGAATTGTTCTCATCTCAAGGACCACTGCAAGAACAATTCTTGTAAAGGTACCTGCTGCTGTCCAGAAACTTGCCTTAATGTATTGATGGTACTTTAGAGAGAGAAAAATATTATTTCTGGAAATATAATGCAGAAGCACTTGAATTGTATTTGGACTTTGTGAAATAGTGAGGCAGTGAGAAGAAATGCTTGGAACATCTTATTTTTAAAGAGGTGGAGGGTAACATGCACTTAACATAATTTGTGATTAGCCTTAATTTTTTGATAGCTTTTTGAAACTAAAAACTGTAATGCAGATTATTAGCCTGATGATATACTTCTCATTCTTAGTAATAGACAGCTGTACAATAGAAGTCTTCACTAATGCTACCCAAGAAGGAATCCGTTTCATTTCATCTAATGTGTGTGGGCCTCATGGACGGTGTATTAGTCAGCCAGGAGGGAATTTTACTTGCGCCTGTGAAAGAGGTTTTACTGGAACGTACTGTCATGAAAGTAAGTAGAAGTTTCTTCTAAATTTTGTTGCCCTAAAACTTCCTTAAAATTTTTGTTATGAAGCTTTACAACATAAAACAAAACATGAAGATCTTAATAAAGTTGTATAGAGCACTGTTTTGAGTGTAGTGCTTGAAATCCAGTTTCTTCTGCTAACATTTCTGTTTGTAGTGGTTCATGCCTTCTCTGGGGGGAAGAAACCCCCCTAGTTTTAGCCCAAGTTCAGTGTGATTGTCTGTACCCACTACCTTTATGTACAATCTTGGAAGAAGCCATGGATTTCTCCAACACGGGGATGATAAAGAAAGGATAGACACATTGAGAGCACAGTTTAGGAGCATGTGTGTTGCTGCTCCAGGTATTTTTTAGCACCTGGATATTTTTACATATGAGAGAGAGAGTAAATCTAGAAACCTTACCAGACTTGAAAACAGATGTTTGAGCTGTATGTACAGATAGAGTATAACTTTGCCCTGCTTTTTCCAGAAAACACAAGTATCGATTACTCATCTAGGTAGACGAAGACAGCCTTTGGCAATAACTGTTGACTTTTTGTCATAGATATCAATGATTGTCTTGGGAAACCTTGCAAGAATGGTGGGACATGCATCGATGAAGTTGATTCATTTAGATGTTTCTGCTCAAGTGGCTGGGAAGGAGAACTGTGTGACACAAGTGAGTACAGCTAAGCATTGCAGGGTCGAATATTACAGCTTTGCCATAGCGGTTGGTGTGTGGTTGATAATAATGGGGTAGTCTCTGTTCTAATGACAGTCTACCCAGTGTTTGCAAAAGATGTTTGGGTTGCAGCTGTAAAAGGCTCATTTCTTCCAATAGGACCATAATCTGATTTTGGTATAGTACAGGATGTATCTCAGGAGAACACTTACTTTTTTTTTCTCCTGAGGAGAGGCAAAAGTGAGTGTACCCTGTTAGGGTTCTACTCATCATTGCTTTTCCTGCTATAAGCACATGTACTTCTTAGTACTTACTGTACATGAAAGTTTGCCCCTTACTTAATCTACTTACAGTAGTTTCCAAACTTGGAAAGCTTTTTAGCTTTTAAGCCAGTGCAAGCTAAAATGTGCTTCCACTTTACTAAGGGAATTTATAAATTTTACTCCATTAATGTCATGAGTCTGTTTTGTGTTCTGGGGTCAGTGACAGCAGGCCTTTACTCTTGCTGCCCTGGCTTGAGACATATTGAGCCTTAGATGGCATAGTATTATGCTAGGCCAGTTCATGGTTAAGCTACCTCAGAGGAAACTGCAGTTGGTTCTCCTCCTACTCTAAATGAAGCCACTTCTAAAACAATGGCTAGGACTTGCTGAGACTTATTACAGGATATGCACCGACTGAGATGTGAAATAAAGACAGAGAAGCTTTTGCAGCTCTCAGTGTCAGAAGAGCTTTTTGTGTGGTCTAGATGAAGTTTGGTCTGGAATAATTATGTTCTGCCTATTAAAATTTGTCTCAAGTGAAAAGTATTTTCTGTAAAATTGCTGTATGGGTATGTGTATGTTTAATGTGTGTGTATGCACACGTATCTATACGTATGTGTGTATATGTATGGTTAAGCCATCTAATGGCTTTAACTCTGCATTTTGAAGCATAAAGCAGGAGAGGGAGCCTTAACTGTCTCAGGTGGATGTCCTGGGTTGGGGCTCCTTTTCAGCACGTTGTGGTCCCTACTGGAAAGTTTTCTCTGAAGTTCAGAATACAGCTGTTTGCTGGAGAAGTGAGACTGCCTTGGTGCTCTGCTTAGGAGCCATATGATGAATGATACTTTTAAGCTGTCAGAAAATCTTTTCACGTTGTTCTGTATTAAATCAGGAGGTTTTTTTCCCTAGCTTCTATAAAGATAACCCCATAACAGTTGGGAACACTGTCTTCCTAAATAGTATGCAATTTATTTCCTTTATAAAGAATTACTTTATACTTTCTCACGGTCTCGGCTAGGCTGGATAATCTGATTTGAATAACTCTCTTTCTAGATTTCAATGACTGTACTCCTAACCCATGTCACAACGGTGGCCGATGCATTGATTTGGTAAATGACTTCTATTGTGAGTGTAAGAATGACTGGAAAGGCAAAACTTGCCATTCACGTAAGTGCTCTTTACTTTGATCTTTAGTTTACCCAAAGATTTATTTTCTTTCTTCTCGTGAGATTAGAGTTCCTGAAGTTTACAATTAAACAATTGCAGTGAAATAATAGGGATATTTTCATTATGTCTTCCATTTTTCCAGCAACAAAATAGAACATATAAAAGTGTGTTCGTTCATGAAGTGAAAGAGT